CAGTGGGTTGCATTACAAGAGAAGAACCTGGAGCTTAGGTAACCTGAATCTTTTATAACAGTCAGTAAGCATGCTTGACCTTTGCCCCAAGGAGAGCGTTATCTTTATTACACAGAACGGTACACATACTAGCTCTTTGCTGTTTGCCATATAAACATCCTTGAAAAGATATTCCAGAACAAAGGTAACCATTGCCTCTGCTTTCAAGATGTATAGAAACATGAGGCACTCATGAGAATTGTCTCCCCAAAATAATAAATTTCTGTCTCTATTTGCTCAAGATTGAAACTATACATAAATCCCTTAGCTTTGCCCCTTAGCCCATTTTCCACTCCCTCCTCAAATTGGGAGCCCATCTTGACAATGCTATTGGTAGATGTTAATGGGGTAGGGGCGGGGCAAATTCAAAATGGAAGAAAATTATAACTTTTAGTAATGGATAAGATGAAAGTGGGCCAGGCGCAGTGGCTCATGCCTGTAATCCCAGCAGTTTGGGAGGCTGAGTGGATCATGAAGTCAGGAGATCGAGATGATCCTGGCTAACATGGTGAAACCCCGTCTTTACTAAAAATACAAAAATATTAGCCGGGTGTGGTGGCGGGCACCTGTAGTCTCAGCTACTCAGGAAGCTGAGGCAGGAGAATTGCTTGAACCCAGGAGGCGAAGGTTGCAGTGAGCCGAGATTGGGCCACCGCGGTCCAGCCTGGGTGACAGAACGAGACTCCATCTCAAAAAAAAAAAAAAAAAAAAAGTCAGAAACCCTACAGGGGAGTTGTAGGCAGCTCCTCGCATCTTCCCTTCCCCTAAAAGCATCTTCCTTTCACTTCACTTTAATACACAGCTGGTAATTCCACTAAATGGACAGTTATTGTTGTTTTTGAAAAATGTAAATCCCTTGGAGCATTAAGGACTTTTAGGGGCTCACACACATTAGTACAAACTTGTGTAAAATACTTTCCCTTTAACAGCTAACTGAGACTGACTGCCCTGAAGGAATAGCAGTTTTGACTGGCAGGGAATAGAAAGGTCATTGAGAAGCATGCAGCCCTTTTTGGGTAATGGCAGACCAGAGATAAGACCCTGGAAGAATTAAAACAATACGATGTCACTGAGCTCATAGGTGCCCTGAAACATGGCATTATAAGGTAGACAAAGATGTAGAGAAAGAGTGGAGAGATGCCAAAGAAAGGTTTTGCCCATTCTCAAATTTTACTTGGGGTTGGCACTATACCCAAAGCAGCAGAAGAAAAGTCTCTCCCTCCCCCTCCTCACTATGGGATCTCTTCATTTCACAAATAGTTATGGAATGGCTTCTGTTTCAACTGCCACTGCTGTTCCAACTGCCACTGCTGTTATTACTACTTACCATTTATTGAACACTTGCTATGTTGCCAGCTTTATGATTACACTGGTGTGACAATGTCAAATAAGACACTGTCCCTGCCGCTAGAAGAACTGATAGCCCAGTTGTACAACTTAGCAAATACTATTATTATAGAACGGCGTCTAAATCAGATAGGGTAGATCCTTGCTTTAGGAAACAGACTTCTGATTTCTATTGTTAGTTCTATAATTCACATAGTGAACTAATAGTAGCTAATACTAGTGCCTACTATATGCCAGGTACAGTTTTAAGTGCCATTAACACAGAATCCTTATAACAGCCCTATGAAGTAGGTACAACGACTATATCTTCATTTTACTGAGGAAAAAACTGAGGCTTGGAGAGGTTAAGCAGCTTTCTCAAGATCATACAGAACCTGCAGGCAGCCAAGGTGGGATCTGATTCCAGGCCTCTGGCCTTATGTTCTTAAATACCTCCCTATAATACAAGTTTAAGCTAACTTTCCAGAAAATATAATCATAATTCATAATTTATTTCTATGTTAAAGTAAATTTTGAGTCCTAATGTGGTTTGGCTGTGTCCCCACCCAAATCTCACCTTGAATTGTAATGATCCCCAGGTGTCAAGGGTGGGGCCAGGTGGAGATAATTGAATCATGAGGGCAGATGCCCCATACTGTTCTCATGGTCGTGAATAAGTCTCATGTGATCTGATGGTTTTATAAATGGAAGTTCCATTTATAAATGGAAGTGCACAAGCTCTCTTGCCTGCCGCCATGTAAGCCATGCCTTTGCTTCTCCTTTGCCTTCTCCCTTGATTGTTAGGCCTCCCTAGCCATGGGGAACTGTGAGTCCATGAAACCTCTTTCCTTTATAAATTACCCAGTCTTGGGTATGTCTTTATCAGCAGCATGAGAACAGACCAGTACAAGTTCCAAACTTCTGACTAGAGGAAATTTTCAAAACATATGTTTTAAGTGAGGAAACTGCCTGCGATCCCCTTGGACTATAAGAGAACAGCAAGCATTAGCGAAAAGCAGTGTATGGGACATTATAAGTTCTGTGTAAAAGGCACTAGAATGTTAATTACCACATTATAAGTTTGGGGATCCTAATTTGGGGGAGGTTGATTGTTCTGATATGCAGCTTTTATCTTCTTAATTTATACAGGTAACAAAATTAATCAGTTAAGGCTGCTTTAAAAAGCAAGCAAATGCATTTATAGGAGAACTTCTACTTTTTTTTTTTTTTTTTTTGAGACTGGAGTCTCGCTCTTGTGCTCTTGTCGCCCAGGCTGGAGTGTAGTGGCACGATCTTGGCTCACCACAACCTCCGCCTCCCAGTTTCAAGCAATTCTTCTGCCTCAGCCTCTGCACTGGGATTACAGGCGCCTGCCACCACGCCCAGCTAATTTTTGCACTTTTTTTTTTAGTAGAGATGGAGTTTCGCCATGTTGACCAGGCTGGTTTTAACTCCTCACCTCAGGTGATCCACCCACCTTGGCCTCCCAAAGTGCTGGGATTACAGGTGTAAGCCACTGCGCCTGGCCAAGGACTTCTGCTCTCAAGGAGGGGGAAGAAATGTACACTGTTAGGAACGCTTTACCTGTTTCTGTGCTCTTGCTACCTTCAGAAAATTGCTAAGTCTAACTTCTACACTGTGTCTAATAAGAAGACACTGTTGAGCAGGAATTCTTACAGATAACCGTATTTATATTTTAAATTTTTTTTCATACATTGAAGTGTTTGCTTTTCATGCCTGTTTTTTTTCTTCGTGGTTTCTCCTATTCCTTTTGAGATCAGAAAGTTCTCCTCTGTTATGGGCTGAATTGTGTCCTGCCAGAATTCACATGTTGAAGTCCTAACCCCCAGTACCTCAGAATGGGCCAGTATTTGGAGATGGAGTCTTTAAAGAGGTGATTAAGTAAAATGAGGTGATCAGGGTGGGCCCTAATTCTATATGAGTGCTGTCCTTATAAGAAGAGGCGATCAAGACACAGGCACAGAAGGAAGACCATGTGAAGAGAGGGAGATGGCCATCTACAAACCACAAAGGGAGGCCTCAAAAGAAACCAACTCTGTGAACACTTTGAAGTCAGACTTCTAGTCTCCAGAATTGTGAGAAATTAAGTATCTGTTGTTTAAGCCACCCAGTCTTTGGTACTTTGTTATGGCAGCCCCAGGAGACTAAGGCATTGTGTAAGAGTAAACCTTGGTGACTCCAGCATTGGTATAGAGCTTCTATCCATAGTCCTCTAAGGCAGCAGTTTATAAACATATTAATGTAATTATAAAGAAACTACAATCTTAATAATTCATCCAACAAACATTTATTTAGCTTGTCCTGCATATCAGATACTGAGCTAAATAGCAAGGACAAAAAGATGAGCCCCTGAGTAGCTCAAAATAAATAAGATCCCACATCACCCTCAAGGGATTCATAGTTTAGAGGAAACTGGCACATACAGAGTGAATTTCAGTATTGTGTGATCACTGGTAAGACTGTGGTATACATAGTGTGGGTAAGGACCAGAGCCTGTGGGAAATCCACTGGGACCCAAGAGGGCTGTCACACTGGAGGCCACAGCTAACCTAGTTCTCTAAGGAAAAGTCAAAGTGTGGCAAATGAATGAAGAGAGACATTTCAGTGACAGGAATGCCATAGACAAACACAGAGAAATGGGAAAGTATCTAGCATGTCAGTTGATGACTGAGAGTTTGGGGTAACTGCAGTTAGAATGTGTATGAAAGAAGGTGGGAGGAGAGATTGAAAATTTGGATTTTAACCTGAAAGTAGTGGGAAGCCACCAGAGATTTTTAGAAAGAAAAGTCGTGATCAGATTTTGCTTTGAGCATGGTCTTTCCAGTAGTACAAAGAATGAAACAGTATGGGGAGAGGTGGGCTGCAGAAAGGCTGGATAGCAGGGAGAAGCAGGGGAGCCTGAATTGAGGCGGTGGTACCGGGTGGAGAAGGGCAGTCCTGCTTTAGAGATAGTCCAGAGGTGAAATTGAACAGGTCTGCTAACCTACATTGTGAAAATGTTAACACTTGCTTATGTACTAACAACTGAAAAGCACTTCCAGGCATAACGCACTATACAATATTTACTTGTTTTTGTTTTTCCTGTATTAGATGTATAAATGATTGCTTCTTTCAACATATAGACTTGCCAATTTAATACACAATATTTTACTTACTTTTTAAGAATTAAATTCAAAGAAGCCACATTTTCTTGTGTTTTGCTTAAATTTGGGAAGAACTGTTCCTCTAAAAAGTACAGTATAATTGGATACAGTTAAATAAATTTTATCTCATCAGAGCGTGTCCAGTATTTTTGTGATTTTTCCAAGTTGGACTTGCTGGAAAGCCGTCTATTTGAAGCAAGAGAAAGTCTGGGAGAACACACTCTTCCGGATCTAATCTAAGTTTTCTCACTACCCACCTATCATAAGTACTTTTTTCAGTCTCTCTAGGCCAAGGCTTTCTTATTCATAAAAGGACCAATAGACTCCTTGATTCCTAAGATTCCTGCTAAGATTCTGTAACTCTTTCCTCCCAAAAGAATGACTGGTCTTGAATTCCAAAATGCAATTTTTCTGCGTGTGTTTTAAAAAGAAGACTGCATGTCGCTGAAAAATCTTCCTTGGAAAGTATATAAATCTTATTAGATGCTTTTGAGATTCATTAAAAGAACCGAAGCATCAGGCACGTTTAAAACATTACCAGGCTGGATGGAGTACGAAGGCACTGAGGGCAATGTACTTAAACCTCCGTAGGTTCAACCAAGTCTCACTGGGCGTAACACAACGAACAAGTGATGCTTTTTGAAACAAATTTGGAGAGTTGGCTGCAGGAAAATTAACAAGCCAGTGGATTTCCTTTCCCCTTCCTTAGGAAACTTGTTTCTGTAGATGCAAAAAGGGCCCTAGATCCTCTGGAAGAGAAAGAGGCGAGTGGGGAGGGGAAGTTTCTCTGCTTTCTTTACTCCCCACCTGCAGTCTGTCTGATTTCCTCTCCAGCTCTGTCTGATAAGGAATTGATTCTCCCCCTCCTCTTCCCCCTCCCGCCCTCCCTCTCCTTCTCCCTGAGTAACGATGCTGTCCTAGCAAGTGATGCTGTCGGAGACAGGAGACAGGCGCCGAGGAGGCATCGCCGCCGCCGCGGGGCTGGAGAGCCTCTCCCAGCACCAGCGCCCCGCTCGGCCCCGGGCTTCCTCGTCGCAGCCACGGCCGCGGCGGTTGCTCCCACGTTTTGATGGTGGGCGGCGGCAGCTCGGCTTCGGCGCCAGCCTCTAACTGCTCGATCGCTGGCCGCACCGCTCTCCGCTCCTGCCTTCCCGCCCTGGGCCGCCCGGGGCCGCGGAAGCCGCGGGAGGTGGGGAAGGGGCGCCCCGGGAAGACCGCACGGCCGCGAAGGTGGAGGAGGCCGGCAGCTGGTACCCCCACACCCGGACCGCAGCTGGCGCGATGTCCACCAAGGTCAGGAAGTGCAAGGAGCAAGCAAGGGTGACCTTCCCCGCGCCGGAGGAGGAGGAAGAGGAGGGCGAGGACGAGGGAGCGGAGCCGCAGCGCCGCCGCCGGGGCTGGAGGGGCGTCAACGGGGGGCTGGAGCCGCGCTCTGCGCCCTCGCAGCGGGAGTCGCACGGCTACTGCCCGCCGCCCTTCTCCCACGGGCCGGACCTGTGAGTACCGGGCCCGGCCGCGGCCCGCGCCTCGGAGGGCGGTGCCGGGCGGGGGGCGGGAAAGCGCGCGCCGGGCGGCTCCACGACGTGCCCGGGACCTCCGAGACCCACATGGTACGGCCGGGCAGTTCGATTCGGGGTGATTTGGACGGGACAGCCCTCGGCCGGAGGCTCGCCCCCTCGGTCCCGCGCGGTGGAGGGACTGGGGCCGCCGAGTGCGTGGCGGGGGCTCTGTCCCGGCTCAAGCGCACGGAACAGCCCGCAGGCGGGCACTCTGATTTCAGACCGGCATCCTGGCGAACAGCCACTCCCTGCCCTAGAGCCCAGGAGCTCGCACGACTGCCGCCAGGGCTGGGCACCCCTTGGAAGACGGACCCCGGGGTCCCGAGCTTACCTAGGGAGGCCGAGGAAGGTTAAAAGATGTGCACAGACCCAGGTGCGCACTTGAACCCCGAACTTCTCCCGGGTGTCCCAGCATGTAGCCACGCTGGGAACTTGGGTCCCCTCCGACGCTCTAGGACGTCGGGGGCGGGGGCAGAGAAGTGGGGAGTAGGGAGGGGACAGTGCGATACAGGGTGTGGGTTGAAGGTTTGTCCAGGCGCCTCGTCTGTCTGTGGTTCAGGCACAGTTGGGGTGAAACTGGAACTGAAGCCCTATAGGGTTCCCTGAGGGAAGGAGTGGGCATCGGGCAGCCAGGGAACCGTTTTAGTGGTAACTTTGGCCGCGGTTCCCGGGCGGAGTGGCTCGCGCCCCGGCACGGGGGCTCTCTTTTTCTCTTTCTTTCTCCCCCTCTCTCTCTTTCTAAACGAAGGAGCGGTCGGCGCGCTAATGCATGAGAAAGAGCAACTTTTCTTAATTTCCAATCTTGGAGACAGCTTTTAATCAGTGCGAGACGCAGAGAAGATAAAAAGAGGGTGATCGGTTTCACAGGGTGAGATGCTCTGTATTTTTCCTGTCACGTACACTGGGAATGCCGCAGGGCTTACTGTCTTTTTTAGGAAGAACGCTCAGAACTAGGTAGAGAACTTGGGGTCGGATGGTGGCGGGCGGCGCAGACCGGCTGAGCCGGGGAAGTGGTTCTCCAGGGTGGGGACAGAGGTTCTGCAGCGCCCCCTGCTGCCGGCGAGCGGCCCACCGCCCGAGGCCGAGACCTCCGGGTTGACCCCTGCACCCCATGATCGCGCGCTGCTTCGCCCACGCGGAGTCTGCGCCTGGTCTGGCTGCACCTACCCGTAGAACACAGGAACACAATCAATGGCTGGGAGTAGATCCCTCAGGGAAGAGTTCTGATTTTAAATGAGCGACTCATCCGGATATGGTTCAGTTATTGCTGAAGATAAGCATGGAATGGAAACGGCCCAGGAAATGGAGGGAAGGTACATCCTTTGGGATTAAAGCGCCACCAGCTCACTTCCCAGTCTCCCTAAGGTTTTAAAACATTGTCCATTTTTCCTTTTGCCAAATTAGTTTTTATAACCTAGCTGTTTCTTGGTTCCTTTATAAAATTCTTCTTTTTTTAAAAACCTTAAATCCTTCCATTAGACACCTGAACTCTTATCTGAGGAAGTAGGGCGGAGCAGAGATTATTCACTTTGCTTCTGAAATTTGAGGCCAGTTACACAAAGCCCTGGGGCAAATTCTATTGTAGATTTGCTGTCTCACTGCTAATAGAACATCTTTTGTATATGTTTGCTAACTTTACATAATTCAACAAGTAAATGTTGTGGTGTACTTATTTTGTAGAGGTCAAGAAGAAGACCCAGTCATTTTTAAGGAGATATACATTAAAAACTTTTCTTCTAGAGGCGGGGCAGCAAGCTCTTCATGTTTCTTTCAGGCTTGTCACTTGGTAACATCAGAGACTAGCTTGGTCTCTGTAACAGAGATCAGCTGTTTATTCCACCTTTGAGGAGAATACGGCCACTGTTTAATAAACAGTGTTTATTGTTGTTTAAAAGTGAACACGACAGCCTTAGGATGGATTCCGAGAAGGATACCCAGGGTCATTTCAGTAGACAAAACAGCATAGCTGAATTTAAAATTCGGCAGGATGCTGAGGATACAATCCCACCTTTACCAAGATAATTTCTCAGGGTAATTCTGTTGCTGGTTTCACTGCTCCCTGCTCCCCTATTCCATGTGGAAATTTTAAATAGACTGACTTGGTAGGAAAACTGTCACCTGCTGTATCACTAACAAGATTATTTTTACCTGTTGATAGAACTCTTGATTCAACCACTGATTCAAACCAAGACTTCCTTCATCCCAGTTGGTTGCAAACCTAGGACCAAGTAATATGTCATTGTAGTGATGGCCTCATTTTTTAATAATGTTTCAGTTCAATATATCTGATGAATTCCAAAAAAGGTATTGGAAGGCAGTTTTCATGAGTCTCAATTCAAGTGTTTCTCAAGCATGCATATTTGCAAAGTGTGGGCTAGGTACAGCAAGCCACAAAGATGAGCATGACAACTTTCCTGCGCTCAAGAATTTTAAAATCTCATGAGGGAATGGTGGGAATGAGACTGGGCATGAGCAATTATGCTGTAAGTTATAGTAAAATCAGTTCCGTTTTCAAAAAAAAAAAAACATACAAAGAGTTACAAAGGGCCAAGTGCAAAGAAGAGAAGGACAACGTTAGGTTGTGGGGAAATCAAGGAAACCTTTATGGGCCTTGAAGGATAGATAGGACAAGAAGCAGAGACAAGGTAAATACTTAATTCAAGTCCTCTCTTCCCCCACAATGCCAGGCGTGTCTAAGGAATATAAGTTGGGTTTGGATGGAATATAGATATGTGTAGGGGAGCAGTGATATTTAGCTGGACATGTTGGTTTGAGGCATTAGTGTGGAGGATCCTATATGCCAGAACGAGGCACTAGGGAGCCACTGATTGTTTTAAAGTAGCAGTAATTTGAGCAAACCCACTCTGAATTGAAGTGACAATTAATAGAAAGTGAAGAGACAAATTAGGAGATGACTGTAACTCTCCAGGCTGAGATTAGGCTCTGTAATAGTGTAGTGTTGGTGGAATAGAAAGGGGAGTAATTGGGGGGAAAAAAAAGCCAGCTAGAATCTATGAAATTTTGCAACTCACTATCCATGAGGGCTTTAAAGAGAAAGCAGGATCAGAGACAATTTAGTGATTTTTGACCCAGATAACCAAGATGGTTGATGCCATTGTTGACAAGAAAAAAGCAAAGGTGAGGATCTGATTTTTCAGATAGTTCTTTTGTTGTTGTTTTCTTTTTAAAGGAATAGTGAATGATCAAATATTTCTGATAGAGGTGTTAAGCAGGGAAAAGGAAATACAAGTTTAAAGCTGTCTGATGGGAATTGTTACACAGTTGTGTGACTACATGAGATTACTCAAAGGAGTGTGAAGAGAGAAAGGGAGTCCAAGCTAGATTTTGAGGGAAAAAAATTTTTGTTTAGAGGGCTGGGAGAAAAAGCAGCAAGAAAAGAGAAACATCGATGCACACTTGGCAAAAACTGAAAAGATCAAGAGAAAAACTTATGACTCTACTGTTAGAAGAATCAGTCCTTGTACGTATTGGCATACATGCACAAAATCATTAGATTTTTCAGCAATGTTATCTTTAACAGAGAAAGATTTCTAGAAAAAAATTCTGTTTAGTTTTTCTTCAGAGGAAGTGCTGCCAAAAAGTAGTCACAATAAAAGCAGTTAATTTGTGTTTATATACTACTTCATGCTGTTGTTTATACTCATTCACTTAAATCACTCCTCTTTAAAGCAGTTTTTAAAATCATTGTCACTTAGCAAATGAGGAAATTAGTACACAGAGATGTAATGTTCTAACGCTTCCCCGGCAAATCAATATTAGATCTTCTAATACTCACCTTTATATGATCAAGGAACCAAAAATGAGTCCACAGTGCCTTGTAACTCAGATTACCTAAAACACTTTGTATGTTAGTGTCTGTGGCACTCACTGGTCTTGTATAAATGTTCCAGGCTTGGCTTAGTGCGTGTGTTGGCTCAGGCATTAGACTGGAAGCAGCGCTTCCTTCCCTCCCAACCCTGGAGGGAATCAGATTCTCCAAGTGATTGCTGAATCTTAGGGACAGGAGTCTGAACGTTGAGTCCAGACTGACTAGTGTTATTAAGAAAGAAGCAGCTTTCTTTACAGTTACAGTTTAATTTTTAAGAACAGCACAGCATGGCATTAGACTTAAGGAATTTATTTTTTTAATTTAATTTTTTTTTTTTTTTTTTTTGGAGACAGGGTCTCACTCTGTCACCTAGGCTGGAGTGCAGTTGTGCGATCATAGCTCATTGCAGCCTCAAATCCTAGGCTCAAGTGATCCTCACATCTTAGCCTCCCAAGTAGCTGGGACTACAGGCACACACTACCATACATTTTGTAAAATTTTTCGTACAGACGAAGTCTCACTATGTTGCCCAGGCTGGTCTCTAACTCCTGAGCTCAAGCATTCCTCCTGCCTCTACCTCGCAAGTGGCTGTGATTATAGGCATGAACCACCGCGCCACCCAGCCTTGAGGCCTTTAATACTCTGAAACTTTTCTTTATATTATCAGTTGTATAACCTAGAGTAGCAATTTCACTATGTACAATGAGTCGTCATTTTTGTTGGTTTGTTTTAAATTATTTTATGTGGTATCAAAGTAATACACGAATATAGCTTTAAAAGTTAGATAGTGCTAAAAGACTTCTACGAGCATCAGCAAGCCCCAGCAATTTCCTGGTCCCCTCTCCTTTTCTGTGTACTCCACTTTCAACTTTTTCATATACTGATATCTTTTTATTCATATTTTAGATGTTATCAATAGTCTCAGGTGAGAATTTATGTTCACATGTATCTCTTATTCTCCCCGTATCTTCCACAAGATGGTTTATCACAACTTCTGGTTAATATCTTATTTAAGTTCTACATTAATATGGCCATGTAATCATTGTTCACTGCTAAGTCAAGTAGTATAGTATGACTACATTTATTTGATTTGATAATTGGTTGTTTT